TTCTTCCGGCGACTCGTTTCCGGTGGCTTCGATTTATTAGACGCACGTGATTAAGTTTATCTTCGCACTGAAGACAAATTTAATCGCTGGCCGACATATAATAAAAATTTATCGCTAATCGACATAATAAAATGACTTTCCAAAATGACGAAAAATGATCGTGAAATTCGTAATAAAATCCCGTGAACGCATTTTAGAAATAAAAATTCGAATATCTTATAATTATAAGGAAATTTATTCTTATATTCACTAATTTTTATATTATTTTACATAATCTTATTTATTCTGTGTTATTAATATTTAATGAATTGACTATAAATTATATCAAATATATATTTCATATTTATTTTCTGATTACATGAGATATTTCAAAAATTATTGATTGTTTTTAATAACAAAATCTTCGTAATGGTATCAATTGTTTCTTAATGAACATTGAGAGGATGATTTACGGCAATTTTTCGCATCATATAATTTATGTTTTACAACCAAGCTCCAAAAAAATTCTAATTTCACTAATTTCAGAATATTATTTAACATAATAACATAATAAATATAATTCATAATTAATAAATTAATAAATATAATTATATTCATAATTAATAAATAATTCATAATTACATAATATTATTTAACATAATTTTTTTTATTCTACATTATTAATATTCAACGAACTGACAATAAGTCATATCAAAAATATATTCCACATTTATCTCTCAATTATATACAATTAGATTATATAGGTTCAAAATTATTGATTGATTTTTAATAACAAAATCATCTTAATGGAATCAATGGCTCCTTAATGAACATTAAGAGGATGATTTACTGCAATTTTTCGCATCGTATATATTTATGTTTTGCAATTAAGCTCCAAAAAAAATTAAAATTCCACTAATTTCTATAATATTGTTTAACATAATCTTATTTATTCTGTATTATTAACATTCAAGGAACTGACAATAAGTCATATCAAAAATATGTTCCACATTTATCTCTCGATTATATAGAATTAGATATAGGTTATATAGGTTCAAAATTATTGATTACTTTTTAATAACAAAATCCTTGAAATTTTAATGATCGATATTTTTTAAATGAAAACATTGATGGAATGATCTTATTTATTCTGTATTATTAACATTTAAGGAACTTACAATAAGTCATTTCAAAAATATATTCCACATTTATCTCTCGATTATATAAAATTAGATTATATAGGTTCAAAATTATTGATTGCTTTTTAATAATAAAATCCTTGAAATTTTAGTGATCGATATTTTTAAAATGAAAACGTTGATGGAATAATCATTATTTATAGCAAGTTTTCGCATCGTATATTTATGCTTATCAAGCTCCAAAAAAAAATAAATTCTATGTTAAAATAAACTTCATGTAAAAGTTATTGAAAAAAAAATATAATTTTGTCATCTCTCCATTTAAATTTCCAAAATTTAATTTACAAAAGAAACCACTTTTTTCAAAATAATATAATTCGAAAATCATTAATATCTCGTTATTTTCATAGAAAAGCGACTTTAAGGTAATTAAAGAATCTGTTATTAAAACATACTAAAGTTTAATGATTCTAAAATATATTATATTCAAATAAATCCCGAAGTCAATCTAACAATTCTCGAAGACGACCTATCCGTCAGATATCCTGAAATTTCATCACGTGGCATTTTCGCGAATAATTTTATCACATTTTTACACACCGCGTCATCGAAAATCCAGCATCGAAAATCGAGGTCACGAGTGAACGCGCGAAAAATTTAAAGAAACCAGTCAACGACCGGTCCGGTGGCTTTTATCTCTGCCTCCTGGTATCACTCGCGTCGAAAAAAAGGTACGAGGAAGGTCCATCGCGACGATTGCTCGGCATCGCCACCGACGCTGAAGACTCCTCTTCCGGAATGAAGAGCGAAGAGCATATAACGCGTGTACAGTTAGGCGCGAGTCAACGATCTTGGCACGACGCCTCGTTTAGGCACGAAACTAGATTCGAAGAGGGTCGAGAAAACGGCCGTCGTCCGTCGCTTGAATCGCAAATAATTCAAACGGTATACGTTCTCGCTGCGAAAATACCTCGCTCTTGGCTGTGGAAACATCCAACATCCTTCTATCTTGTTCATTAATACCGGTTTTTCTCCAACGAGTGATTTTCATTCAATTATACTCGAGGGATGAAATAGAAACTAAACTATAATTGCTGGGGAAAAGATGAAATAAGCAAGCTTATAGCTGAAGTACAGATTGTGTAGAGAAAAAAAAATGAATGAATTTAATCGAAAGTGATTTGAAACCTCATCCTTTCATTTCGAGTCTTTACGTCTAATTTCGAAAATTTAATTTCACCTGGGAGATCGCATCCGAGGATCGTTAACGATCCTCCGCGAGAAATTAAATGTCGCAAAAACTCCTCGAGATATATTACTCGTCCCGGCTCGCCAATCCGATATCCATTCACCGAGAGGAGACCGTGAAAGCACGGCTATTTTACGTCAACTCTTCCCTCCGCGCGCGCGCGCGATACGTCTTTCGAAAGTGGCATTTCGCGGATTAGGATTCGCTAAAAGAGTACCGTTGCAAGATCGACGAAAGACCGAACGCTCGCATGCGAGTTTACCTGTACTACGGAGTATGTACAGGTATGTACAGGTAAAAGCATACCGCATACAACTGCGCCAGCTGCATTCTGGGTCGCATGCTTTTCGAGACGCGAGCTGGGGCTGTGGGATCTTGGAGTCACCGAGATAAATCCCAATAATAATTCCTCACGCAGCGAAACATACAGAGTGTCCCAAAAGTCCCGGATTGGTCGAATATTTCATAAACTATGCACTTTAGAAAGAAATGTTTCAGACAAAAGTTGTATAGCTTGAAGGGGGTCATCAGATAGTGGCACTGATTTGACATGGGAGAGTCATTTGAAAGTCACGTGAAGATCATCGTTAATTTCTTAAATGGAATCCCCTATTTTTTATTACATATTCGTGTAGCATATCTCGAAAGCTTTCCAAAACACTATAATAAAGTATTTCTTCATTGAGTACTTTTCGAGTTATGAGGCTTGAAATAATTTCTTAATTTTGCATAAATCATAAAATATCTAGTAAAATATTCATTTTTCGATTATCTTATCTTAATAATTTTATGTACAAAATAATGAGAGGAATCAATTGGTGTAAAGAAAACACATAGTTGTTTTAAAAAAAAATATGTAATTGTTAATTGCAAATTAACAATCGCATATTTAATCGCATATTTTTTTCTTAAAAACAACTATGTTTTTTCTTTACACCAATTGATTTCTCTCATTATTTTGTACATAAAAGTATTAAGGTAAGATAATCGAAAAATGAATATTTTACAAGATATTTTACGGTTTATGTAAAATTAAGAAATGATTATATAAGTCTCATAATTCGGAAAGTACTTAATGAAAACTAACTTAATTATAGTGTTTTGGAAAGCTCTCGACGTGAGCTACCAGAATATTTAATAAAAAATAGGGAGTTCCATTTAAGAAATTGACGGTGATCTTCACGTGACTTTCAAATGACTCTCCCATGTCAAATCATTGCCACTATCTGATGGCCCTTCAAGCCAACTTTTGTCTGAAACATTTCTTTCTAAAGTGCATAGTTTATGAAATATTCGACCGGTCCGGGACTTTTGGGACACCCTGTATAATACTATAATCCTAGATGTCTAATGAATGCGTGCCTTCAAAGATTTCTCGTACGTACCTCGTATAATTCCTCGTATAACTGCAGGCTAAACGAAAGATGCATTTGTGATGATTAATTTATTATTCAGCTATTGAAGGTTGCAATAGGACATCCTTAGGATATCATTAGAAAATAAACTGGTCTTCGAAATCCACTTAGTGATGTGAAATAAATTGTTGCAGCAAAGAGATATCGTAAATTCATATAATTACAAAGAGAAATCTTATGTTGAATTTATATTTCAGAAGATTATAAAATTAAAAGATATAACAATTTTCTATTAATGTCTCAGACTGATATTATTTTATCAGAAATTTCACTATTTTCTATTATCTTATATGATAGAAATTTTTAAGGCTGAAAAATTATAAATAATAACAATATCTTTCATTTTCCTAAAAAAAACTGATTTTAAAAACTCGACAGAAACTCTATTCTTATTTGTATATTTGAAATGTAAAAAAAATTTTTTTTTTTTTCATTTTATCCAAAAAACTTATTTACCATTTCTCTTAAATTTTTTTTTCAATTTTTTTATTTTTCTTTGTATAATTTTTAGTTTTTATTTTCCTTAAAAGTTTTTCATAAAAAAATAGCATGATATTAAATTGTGATACCTAATTCCTTTACTTGTTTATTGTGTAATCTAGCGGTAATTATTCTGCTCTCAACTAAATTTTCATAATATGACATGGATTTTCTTGGCAGTGATATAAATGACCATCTGCAGTTGTGATGTTATTTCTCAGTTCACCGAGATTCTGCACTTATTTCGCTTAGAATGCACTCCATTTCAATTCTGGATGTTGTAATGATACGTTGGATAAATATTAACTCGCGAATCTTGCGGTCTGTAGAATAAAAATGTTGGTTATTATAATTAACTAATTAGATATCGTATATACAGCTTTTCAAATATTTTTTTATTTTTCGCAATTATAAATAAAGCAATTTTTGCAAACTTTGAAAACAATGATTTTAAAATAAAAACCATTATTTTAAAATAATTTCAAATATTAATAATTAATTTATAAAACAGAAAGAGACATGATATTATGCAAAGATGTCAATAAATTTCTTAAACGCAGTACAATAATTTTCTTGTCGTTATAAAAAAATAAAAAAAAGAAACTTATTTATATACTTTAGTATTAATTATATAGATTTTGCTATTTATTTATAGAACTTTGTTGTTTCAATCATCTTATTTGTAATGCGAAATTATGTTTCTATCTATATCGCGCACGTTTTGTATTTATTTTTCAGTCGAGACTTATTTGAGTCCTGTAGAAACGCACTGCATGAATATTGACTATTTTATTCCCGATGAAGAAAATCAGACGAGAGGTTTTTCTGATGATGCAATGGCACGATTACGTAAGTATATTAAAAATAGAAAAAAAATTTATTTTTTCTTTTAATAATAAAAAATCAGCATAATTCTAAAAATTAGTTAATATTAAATTTAATTAACATTGACTTATAACTTAATTAACATTAACATTAATTGCTCTTATTTTTTGATTAATTTTTTTCTTCTAATATATTCGACCTTAACACTTTAAAAATAATTAAATAATTCTATCGATATTAAATTCTGTTTAGAATAAGAAATAGATATATAAATTGGTCAAGCATATATTAGTTCTGAAAGATTTATTATAAAATAAAGAGAGATAAATACGCGCGTGACAAACTTTCTCTTAACATACTTAACAGAATGATTATATAAATGTCTCATATTTTTATCAGGCCAAACAAATAATATCAAAAAAGCTAAGTCTTATTTGCAATACGTCTTGTAAATATAAATGATATTATAGGTACTTTAAAATTAAGTCACGTTGCACTCTCCGATGTGGAGCAAATGGAAAGTTCGATCGCTGATAGGCAGTGAATGCGTGCATAATACAGTTAAAAGACTTAGATATTTTCAAGATTGTTATAAAGATATTTTTTACAGATGCATGAGCAAAAAATATATAACGCTTAAATATCGTATTATTGTCATAGATATGGGAAGATCTGTGATAGCTCTATTCATGATCGGCTTTCTCGCGATATTTTCGGCATTCTGGACAGGAGTAGTCGGGTGTTGGAGAAGATCACCAGGGAACATTACGGCCACGGCGATTCTGATGTTATTCGCCTGTCAGTATATTTTCTGAAATAAAATTTCGAAAATATTTTATATTCATAAAGAGAAGAATATAATCGCAACGTACATATTTTTAAATGACGTAGGCCTACTGAGTGCTGGCGGTATGGGCTTGTGGCACGGCGTCGAGTATTATGAAAAAGAGAAAATCGTCGGGGAGGAATATTATCAACAATGGAGCAACGTAAGTTCTCAATTTTATTTGTATAACAATTTTTTATCGATATATAAAATATATCTCAACAATATAGCTCAACAAATTTGTCAAAGTGAGATTAAGATTTATCGTTGATATATATTTTTATTATTGAAACAGAAGATTAGAAGGAATAATATAATATATTAATATCTTTATTTATATAACAATTTTTTATCGATATATAAAATATATGCTCGACAAATTTGTCAAAGTGAGATTAAGATTTATCGTTGATTTATATTTTTATTATTGAAACAGAAGATTGGAAGGAATAATATAATATGCTCAACAAATTTGTCAAAGTGAGATTAAGATTTATCGTTGATTTATATTTTTATTATTGAAACAGAAGATTGGAAGGAATAATATAATATATTAATATCTTTATTTATATAACTATTTTTTATCGATATATAAAATATATGCTCGACAAATTTGTCAAAGTGAGATTAAGATTTATCGTTGATTTATATTTTTATTATTGAAACAGAAGATTGGAAGGAATAATATAATATGCTCAACAAATTTGTTAAAATGAGATTAAGATTGATCGTTAATTTATATTTTTATTATTGAAACAGAAGATTGGAAGGAATAATATAATATATTAATATCAGTCTGTTAGATTATTTAAATTGCTCGGATTAGTTCTGTTTTGTTTTCCTAAATTATCTAAATTATTCACATTCATTGATTGTTCAAAAATCAATTGATCAATCTTAAGGATGTTTTGTGTGTAAAATCCCAGCAAAAAGTAGTTGAAAATCATTATTGACGAATATATCCACTTTTGGTGTATTTTGAGTAAGAAATTGTGTGGAATATTACAATTTGATCTTAGCTACAGTGCAGAGATGTATTTTTTAATATTTATTGTGTTTTTATTGAAATATTCCGAACTTTGTTAATCGAAATGATTAACTTTTGGCAGAGAATTTCGCCTCGTGACAGATACATGGCTAACTTGATTGAATTATATTTAATATCTTTTTAACCAGTTAGCACTTGTATAATATTATTTGACCAAATATTTCCTCTGTATCTAAACTTTAGTAAATTTTAAACAAATTCTGAATATTATTTCCATGTGTTTTTGTCATTTGAATCGACGTGGTTATACGTTTCCCACAAGAACACATGTTAATTCGGTGCAAATTAAAATCCTTATAACTTGTAAATCGATTTAAAAATTGTACTGAAGATTCTAAACATATGTAAGGACATTCTGTACAATTTTCATTAAATTTTCAATATTTTGAAAATAGATACAAAACATCCTTAAGGCATGCATTATTTATTAGTAATAAGCGAGATAAGCGAAAGAGATGCAAATATTTTAATGCGAATTAAAACTGAATGCATTTTCTTATGAAAAATTAAATATTCTCAAATGATACGTTCCATACACTGAGCGAAAAATTTTTTTAAATTAAATAAATTTGTTTTCTTGAAACTTTTGCTTTAAATGCAAGGAATTGTTCATTTCGTTTAAGCAAAAGTATTTAATTTTAATTAAATATGCATGTTATATTAAGTACATTATTTTCATTTCTATATTTTTTATATTTAAATATACTATTTTCGTAAAATATATATTATAATTTATTAAATTAAAGATATTACTTTTTAAAATTAAAAAATTTAAAATTTTTGGGAATAAAAAATACATTTTAATAAATATTTTGTAAAATTAAAATAAAAATATTTAATTAAAAATTATATTTTTTTAAACACATATATATTTTTAAACATATATAAATAAATACTTAACTTAAACAAACAGACGTTTTGAATACAAGTAAATACGTGATTAGTACCCACCGAATAAATAGCTTTCTTGAATTAACGAAAATTTTTTTATTTCAAGATAATTTTTTTCTCAGTGTAAGTAATTTTGAAAATAACTGATAAAGAAGCATTTCGCTTGTTTCGCACCACGAAAAGGCTCTTTCAGGCACACCGGACCAATCTGTTGTCTGCATCGAACTCGAGGACCCGTATCCTGGCGATGGCAGGAGCAATTATATACGCAGTGCCTATAGATAATTTTGCCCGCAGGTTTTAAGAGATCACACGGCGCAATGGTACGACTGGTCGTTTTACCTCGCCTGGCTAGGGGTGGCCACGTGCCTGGGCACGATGACGCTATTCCTGATCGCGGCATCCTGCCTGAGAAGGGAGCGTGCCCGCGAGCAGGCCCAGAACATTCAGTACATTATGCCAGGTGACACGACAACCATGAAACGGCCGAGCTAACTCGTCCCGTATCTTTTTTTTCTTTGTTATATACCCGGCACGACATGGCACGGCACGCGGGGGAAAAACTGTCCCTAGGTCCTGAAAGACAACTCGCTAATCTCGTACGACTGGTCGTACGTGGTCGCTTGGGTCGGCGTCGGTTGGTCGTTGGTCAGCGCGATCTTGTTTAGCGCCGCGGCGATTTGCTTGAGGGGCGAGAGAATACGCGAGGAGGCGATGAACATGCAGTACCTCATGCCTGGTACATATTTAACACCTTTTGCTTTCGCCCATCATTAGCACGCGGCATCCGATTACTCTTAAGGGGTCATGTCTAGTCATGAAAGTAGAAAAAACCGATTTTTATGTTTTTGCATTTCCTCGAAGTGTATCCTATTGGAGATATTTCCTAAGTTTCAAATTAATAGGATGCAAATTGACGGAGTTATAAGTGTATGTTTTTTCCTGAAGCACCAGAATGTAACTTAACTATAAAGTTTCAGCTCTGATATTTTGAGGACTATCAAGCCAATATGAAGATTTAAATAAACTAAAATTATATGGGCCCGGAATAGATGATTTTGTGTAAATTTAAAAAATCTGCATTTTATTTAAACGTAAACTTGGCATAAATTTTAAACGCGTTTTTCTCGAAATCATTTTTGCAAAGTCGGTGAGTAAAATATTTCGAAAACCATTACACTCGATTTGCTTGATATTTTACAGGCTTCTTCTACATATAAAAATCCAATAGATGAACGAAGGATTTTATTTTTTAATGAATCCTTTTTTTTATTTAATAAACAATGAGCAATTTTTAAGTCGAAAAAGAATATTTTATGTCAAATGGTTGCCATTTTGTCCCAAAACAATTTTTTAATTCTTCGTTCATTTACTAGACAATTTAATATTAATTACAGTTTATCGAATTTTTAATATCAGTTTCGAATAGCATTGCTCACCGCGCAGCGCTTTTTAAAAACAATATCCGGGAGAATAGTTATAACTTTTACATTTTTTAATATTTTATTTTAAAAAAATATAATAACAGCCTTAATATTGTATTTAATTTGTACTTTTGAATAAAAATTTATTTGTAAAAAAAAATTATTACACTTTTCAAAAAAAATTCTTAAACTTCATATTTTATTTTAAAAAAAATATAATAACATTCTTAATATTTGTACTTTTGAATAAAAATTTATTTGTACAAAAAAAATTATTATACTTTTCAAAAAAAATTCTTAAGCATCATACTTTTTTCGGTTTGCTGATTAGACATAACCCCTTAAGAAAAATAATCCGTACACTGAACAGTTTTATCAGTTACTGATTTACCAAAACTAGTCAATTGACCAATTTCATTGATTTTGGAAAGAATGGATGTTGAAGAAAATATTGGAGTATTTCTTGATATTCTCAAACAAAATTTGTTAAATGTGTAATCGATTATTGATTACTTAGATTAATATGATACATTATGTATAAATTATAATCTATTATCTGTAAATATCAATACTGCAAGATAATTCAACAATCTAATTTAACAATTCTGTGAGACTTTTTTTCAAGTCGCAGCGATTGATAATCAACACATTATCGTGATAAACGATCAATGAAACATGGAAAATGTTTTGTATTAGATTTTTATTGCTGTTTAAAATTACAATAAAAATTAAATTTCCTCGAATAAAATCCCGACAAGTCGGATTCCGTGTGCACATTTAATGTTTTACTAACATTAATTTACAATCATCAGGCTTGATTACAAGGAACACGTTCCTTGATACAAGGATAACGATCATTTTGTCATCATACTAATACTATATTAGATTTATTTGAAGGAACGTCAATGCGGAAGCGACAAGTTATTAAACTCACATTGAAATTAAATTATCTTGATGAATATTAATAAAATTAATGAATATTTGAATATTGAATTAATTAAATATTTAATAATGTATTATGAATATAGTACTTCAAGCGCTTCCGTATTAACGTATAATAATTATTATCAGCGTAATTTACGCATTAGATTATTTACATGAATATTTTTATAGAAATATATATGTAATAATTATTATTTTTAAGGATTTTAATTTATTCCAATTGCGAATAAATAATTTTATAATTTTTATCCAAGATACATAGACAACAATCATAAACTAATTGAATGATGATATACATAGTGCAAGACGAAAACAATCTGATCGCTTATTTAACTATAACAAACCGAATATTTTGTCGATCCCAATAACGCCTTGTATATAAAAAGATTGGTCCCTATTCTGTTCGAAAAACGTAAAATTAACCTTGATGATGAATCGGTAATATTTTGAATATTAATTGCGAACTTGTAAATATAAAAAACGAGTAAAACTAGTTCGATGAATATTAATTCGAAATTGCATGCCGAGATTTTAGAATCGGTCTTTGCGTAATTTTCTAACAAGCTAAACCAGAGTGAAGCCACGTGGAAAATTATTAGCTAGTCAATCATTTAATTAAATGATTTTTTAATTAATTAAATTCTCTCGGTATCTCAATATTATTAAACATTTTAATCGAGATTAAATGTCCAGCGTTTAGATTAAAAGAGCAAAAGGCGACACATCAAATAACATGTATAACATGCCAAATAACAAAGTTAAACTTCAAAGCATTTAATTTAGCATTTTCTATAATTTTGTCAAATCACAAGATATATCTCGCTATTTTTATTAATAATTTTAAATTTTAATAATCTTAATAAATTTAATAATTTTTAATTTTAATAATTTTTAATTTTAATAATTTTTAATTTTAATTAATAATTAAAATTTTTTTCCATAAATATTTAAGTATCACACACTTTTAAATAATTATCAATAACATAATAACGCAATTAAGATTCTAATCGAGATAAGGCAAATCAATTATCGAAGTGCACTGATGATGATGTGTGGCAATAGCCAATATTCATTCTCGCGAAACTTTTACTTGTCCGCCTCACGCTCTGTTTCTGCTACGGATTAAAGTATTTTTGTCACGCTCTAAGCCTGAAGAAAACTTTCTAGTTCTCGTTCGGATGATCGATCGACTTGTGAGATACATTTAGCATCGTTTTTCAAATTTATTCTAAAACATTAAACATTTTCTATAAAAAAAAATTTTATATTTAAAAAAATTTTTAAATATAAAAACTATAAAACTTTATAATACTTATAATATAAAAACAATAAAATATAAAATATAAATCTATTTTCTATTATTAAAAACAAAAAACAAAAATCTATTCTTATCAATTGCAAAAGAAAACAAATTTCTTTCATAAATTTATATATATACAACAGGACGTAATAATTGTCAAATATATTAGTTACATTATTTAATCTCAAAATTGTTTTTCTTAAAAGAAATAAATGTCAGAAAAATATCCAATTGTAAATATAACTTTTCTCTTTTTTTAACTTTTTAACTTTTTTTAACTTCATTGTTTTTAATATTAAATCTTAAAGTTTTAGAAAGTTGAACCTTACACATTTCTGGGCAATAATTGTTCTCTTTTGTTTAAGAAAAAAAAATAGAAAATCGATAATATAATCTAAAATCAAAGTAATCTCGAGTCGGTCGAAAGCGACACACTTGCCTAATTTTCTGTACATCCATCGGCCTCTTGCCAGAAAAGAATTTCCGTATTTGTGCATTCAATCCCGTACGCTGACCGATCGATGTCGGAATTCGATTTACGAATGGCAAACGTGTCTCGTTTAACAAATATGTGTCTTTCTTTAAAAATCAGTAAACATCTAAATTTATCTAAACAATAAAAACATGTTCTCTCTTCGATCAATTAAACTAATTTTTCAAAAATATATATATTAAAAATAAAAATTTAAATAAATTAAAATATATATGACGTAAAATATATTTAAAAAAATAAAATGCGAGAGTTATACATCGAAATTAAAATAGTTTTAACAAATTATTTTGCCTCGTTTATTCGATAATCTATATCTATATCTAATAAAAACGTGTTCTCTCTTCGGTAAATTAAACAAATTTTTCAAAAATAAATATATTAAAAATAAAAATTTAAATAAATTAAAATAAAATATATGTGACATAAAATATATTTAAAAAAATAATTAAAATGCGAGAGTTATACATCGAAATTAAAATAGTTTTAGCAAATTATTTTGCCTTGTTTATTCGATAATCTAATTTAGCATTATTCTTCGAAAGGTGTCCAATAAAATCTAATTTCTTTTCTCATTTTTTTCCAGTGTACCCGCAGAAGCAGCAGTACGCATACGCCGGATATCCGGCACCGGCGGCCTATCCGGGACCGTATTATCACGGTTCTCAATATGGGCCTTACAATTATTGAAGGAATTAGGCCGGTCGGCATCGAAGGAAAAAAAGTGACCCGAGCGCGCTCGTCGCCAGCATCGAAAAAATTCGCTATCGTGTTCACTTGATAGGACAAGGATCAAAAATATTCAATATGAAATTTGAGAGACTCTCGTCGAGATCGATCCATGAAGATGCAAAAGGATCGAAGGGTCCTCTTAGGAGTAATTTACCCCTAATTAAAAATTCGTGGCTACGCAAATGTTGCTCCGAAATATGATTGCTACCACGAGATTCTCAAAAGCGAGCTCTTTTCTTCCCGCGATGGTCCGATCGTTTGGTTCCATCCAACCGAGAGCAAGAACGAAGGACTAAAAAACGCCTGAGAGAAAGTTTCTAAAGAAAGCCTGAAAAATTCAGGAATTTTTTTCGACGTTCTTACTCGCGTTTTTTAGACATTCGCGTTGTTTCGAAAGTGCGACTTGCTCAAAATCCGCGTACTTATATCTAGTAAAAGTGAGAAATCATTTTGTACTTTTTTTCCAGTTCGATAAGTAAACGCATCCATCGTCCTTCGCGTATCCTTAGTCGTGTGCTAATCGCATGGACGTGGATTTGCGTTCTCGAGAAATTGCGTTTCCATCTGATCGGAATCCGATGATTGATTTCACCGAGCTTTCTCGAATTCTCATTAACGGACGTTAGATCGATGATTCATTCATTTCATCACAGAGAAGAGAGGGTCCAAAAGAAAGCTCATTCGAGCGCTCGTCACGGATTTAACGGACGTTAATCGCCTTGAGGAAACTTGATAAAAACAGTCGCGAGTCTTGTAATTGAATTGATCGATCACGTCGATCGAATTCAGATCTTGCGAAGCTTGGCTCGCTTCGACGCCGCGTTTATCTTTATTTATTTAACGCGATCGAAGCTCAAATCTCTCTCGAAGAGAGGAGTCGTCGAGCTTGCGCTCTCACTTCTTTCTTGGTAGTGCCAAATATTAAATAAATATGTCGCCGACGAACGCAAGAAGAGAGAGATTGAATTGTGTGATTCTGCGAAAATAGTCCGGGTCGCGAATTTAACTGCTTTAAATTTAATAGAACGAGAGATTTCGATGAAAGATATTAAAATCAACAATAATATGAAGCATGATTTGGAAGGAAATTTTCAGTTTTCCCTAAATCATCTTATATTGACAGCATTCCATTGAAAATCTTTCTGGGACGCTGTTGAAACCCATATTTAATAAATTAGAAAATCGACTCGAACAAGTTAAAATCACTTTCTCGAACGCGTCGCATCGTAATATAATGTAAACATTTATATAATATATGGTGCTGCTAGGATCGTTAACGAATTCGAAATTTGCTTAGTATGTATTTCTTTTGATAACGTCAATTTGTAAGATTCATTACATCAATAGAATATGTAAGATGTTTATGAAGTAAGATAAAAATATACTCTCTCTCTCTCTCTTTCTCTCTTTCTCTCTCTCTCTCTCTCTCTCTCTCTCTCTCTCTCTCTCTCTTTTTCTTCAATTATTTTATATACATATATATAATATTTTTAAAGTAAATAAACTATATCGAAATTATTTTCTCTTTCTGTCCTGCGTCTTCCATAAATAAGTCACTTAATCTAAATTAGTTTTTCCAATTTACCTTTTATCAGTTTTTTCTACAAGCGAGGATAAAGCAATATTTCTTAAGAGAATAAATTATATATGTCGCAAATTATTATAAATTGTTACAAAAATATTAAAAAATGTATTAAATTGATATTAAAAATGCACTGTTAATTGCATTATAATCATGTGAAATTAGGTAAAATTTAAGAATGAATGTAAGTATAAAAAGATTAAGAAAACAAAAGTTAGGATAAATAGAATAAAAACAACGAAAATTTATAAAATTTTAGATATTAAAAATATGAAATAGAATAAAGAAGAAAATATGTATAAAATATATGATTGTGATACCTTCTGTAATTTCTAATCTCCAACAAACTTTTAATTCTCTTATGATATGCAAGTATTTTTATTAAATATACATGTAATTATAATATTATATTTTTTTTCTCATAAGTATATACTTATAAAAGAGAAGGAAAAATAAATAATTGATTTGCGCTTTAATAGCAACAAACTAATTCAAAATTAATTTTTAAAAAATGCTGATATAAAATTAAAATAAAATTAAGTGAGTACATGATAAAAATTTAATCAAAATTAAAAACTGCAATTATGAAAGAAAATATGAAAGATAATTAGCAAACATTTATAAGAAATCATATATACTGTTAATAAGAATCGAATTATAATATGTATACATATGTAAAATTTAAAAATTATGTTATTTAAAAATATGATATTTAAATAAATAATTAATATTTGCATTCGATAAAAAGAAATTTTGCAAATTTTAGCAATTATATGCGAATGCCTAATAATAAAAGACACCGTATTTTGACTTTATCGAAATCAGAAAATCATAGAGCTGACTTAAATAATTTAAATCCAAAAAAACTATCTTGGAAACAGGAAAATTTAAATTCTATTATTTCTATTCACCAATTTATCCCGCTTTATTTATGACATTACAAAAATTTAAAAAATTTATCCCACTTTATTTATGCCATTACAAAAATTTAATAAATACATATGGAACAGTAAACAAAATAGATTAGGAATACCAGATTTAAAAAAAAAAATTAAAAAAAGAGATTAAACACACAAAGATTATTATTAAAATTGTTAATTATTATTAAAATTATCATTTTTTAAAATAAATTTTATCTTCATCGTTAAATGTTTCCACAAAGATAATTATTAAAATGGTTAATTATTATGAATTTTTAATTATTATTAAAATTATATCAATTGTTATTATAAATAGAAAATGTTTATTTCTACAGGATTAAAAATCAACAAAATTTTTATATAATAATATATTAATAATAGTATACTATATAATATAATACACTAATATCAGGGTTGGTAGTTAAGTTTATATATTTTTTAAACTAAATTAAGTTAAAGTTAATGGGTTAAAAAAATTAATTTAGTTATGTTAAAAGTTATACAAATAAAAAATTAACTCAATAAAAGTTACGTTAAGATTAAATTAACGTTAGTTAAAATAAAAATTAAAATTTCGAAAAGCATTATTTCACTTTATATTAAATTAGATTGTAATTTATTTTATTACTCTAAATAATAATAATATGAATCATCAAATAAATTTGGGGGAAAAGTTAATAAGTTTAAGTTTATGTGTTTTAAAAATAACTAGTTAAAGTTAAAAGTTAACTCTTTTTAAAATAACTAAGTTGAGTTAAAAATTATTAACTTTTTAACTTTTTTTTAACTTTTAACTAATCAACTAGTTATTACCCAACCCTGACTAATATACTACTCTGTTTCGAACCATATGTTTACGTTTCAAACGTGTATTAGCAGCCATGCTGCTTTCATTATGACACTTGAGACCAATCCCTGATAAACATCCACTGCGCATTCTCGAAGAACACACACACATAAAGTTTATTGTGTAAGTGTAGTTGCACTATTATTACACCTTCTGCACTCAGAGACGAGACGGATACATGACAGAGCTTTCGGGAAGAAAGAGAAGAAGGATGAAAAATATAAAAAGTTCAGTCACGAAGAACAGATCTCTCGTACGCTTCTATCAAAGCATCTGATTTAGTGGTCGCGCTCAGTTGACGCGTACCTGTCAAAGAACGAGGATATGTCAGGGGTCGTGGAGTGCCTCTTACTGACTGTCATCGCGTCATGCGTGGCCGAGCAAGGTAATTCGAGGGAAATACCTTTCACGAGGGAGAAGGTATGCATATATATACGTATAAATGCCTCTCGTTACTCGTAATCGCTCATATTTTTTTCCCCCACCCCCTCTCTCACTTTCTCCAGGCATTATCACGTTTTACTGCCGATCTTGCGTTACTTTTGATAGGTGTCATTGTTGCTATGTGATTTTTAGTATTATCATAAACCTGGCCGGCTGGTGGACAACCAGATTGCCACGTTGTCTAATCTCAGCAATGTTACTCACATGAATGAGGTCTTGGATAACATATGCATAGTAAGGATTGTGGGGACTCCTGAACACGTGAGAGTGCGACAGGTAAGCAAGAAGCGGAGAATTTCCAAATTTTGATCTCTTTTAATCTCCTTTTGAGAATTTAGTTTTTAGTTGGATAATTATATCAAAAAGTTCCAATTGTATAAATATGTGTGCGAAATTAAATGAAGAAATAAATTGAAAAGCCTAGTGTTGACACTTGTTAATAATCTATCTGTATAATTTTTTAAATTAATATATATATTAATATATATATTTAAATTAATATATTTATAAAAATTAAAAATCCAGGAAAAGTTGACAAATATTTTTTATTATATTAAAAAATCAAACTTTAATAATTTACAATGTGTATATTTAATGTTCTGATGTCATTGTCATAACATTTAACTTGTAAAAAGAGTAAAATATGTATATTTTTCTTTTCAGTATATCAAGAGATCAATGACAGATCTAGGTTGGACAGTAGAGTCAGATGTATTCAAAGCCGATACACCTATATTTGGCAAACTGGAGTTTGAAAACATAATAGCGAAATTAAATCCTAATGCAAAAAGATATTTAGCACTAGCTTGTCATTTCGACTCAAAGTATACGAGAGAGAGAAATTTTGTTGGCGCCACAGACAGTGCTGTACCATGTGCTCAAATGATTAATTTAGCGACTGTTATGAATAGTTATTTCAATAAACAAGTAAATAACACAAAATGTTATAAAATTGTATAATCTTTGTAAATTCTAGTATTTATATGATGTCTATATTTCACAGCAAGATATTAGTTTAATGCTCATTTTCTTTGATGGAGAAGAAGCATTCAAGGAATGGGGTCCAAATGATTCCATTTATGGTGCCAAACATTTAGCTCAGAAATGGCATAATAATAAAACTGCTTATGACAGTGAGAATTATTTCTCCGAATTGGATAAGATGGTATTAATTTATATGCAGTTATTAAAAATGTATTGCACATGTATAATATTATTGTAATTACGCTAATTATATGACATTTTTGTTTCAGGACATGTTAGTCCTCCTTGATTTATTAGGAGCACCAGATCCAACTTTTTACAATTATTTTGAAAATACCGAGAAGTGGTATTCTCTTTTAGTCAATACCGAAAAGAAATTAGCTAATATGAGAAAATTCGAATCTTATACATATAATAAACCAAAACAGAGCTATTTTCAACCATACTCTTTTCAACCACATATTGAAGACGATCATATCCCTTTCTTAAGAAAAAGTGAGTGAATTATTTCTAATGTATGAAAATCATTTTATGTGTATCCAACCTAAATTATTGTTTTTTCTAGATGTACCCATTCTACATTTAATACCAATCCCGTTTCCGACCTCTTGGCATAAAACGAGTGATAATCGACATAATATCGATTTGAAAACTACAGAAAATCTTAATAAAATATTGAGATTGTTTGTGGCTTCTTATTTACATTTGTCGATTCTCTAACGGAATCAAAAAATGTTTCTTAGACAAATTTGAGAGAAAACTTGTTATATCGATGAATCAAAAGAAATACATAGTGTTAAGTCTGCAAAACATAACATATCTACTAAAAAAAAAAGAAAATTTTAATCCCAAATATTAAATGTATTGGAAAAATTAATATTTCACATACAGCTATCTATATTTTTTTAAAAGATTTATTGTTTAGAATGTCTGTTTTGCTATGAATTTTTCTGGATCAAAAATTTTGTATTATTCCTCCGGTGATATTCTTGTATAATTGTATCATATGTAATTTGTTATGTGAATGCGATTGTACAGTATTACATAAATTACATATTTGTATAAGTAATCAGCAGATTTGAAATTATACATAATTTTGTACATAAAAAGTTTCAAATATTCTTCAAAATATATGTTTTATATTTTTGAATTATCTAAATTTCTCACAATTTGTCAAAAATTTATTTCATTTACCTTTCTCTACATATGATATGCACGAATATAATAAAATTTAATTGCACGTATTCTTTTACAAGGAAAATATTGAAAGAATTTGGAAATTAAATACGTCATGTCGGAAATTGCGGAAACTCGACTGCGTGACATCCTGTTACACGCTTGGAATGAACACGCATATGTTATATATATATCCATATCGATACACATACACAATGATTGGTATTTCGATTAATATAAATGTGTTATATATATCTTTATATCTAAAAAAAATTTAACGATGTTACTAGGAAGCAGATTTTATATTTTGACCTTGAATCTTGTGTCTGTAGACGCACGATTATATATTTAATATATACAATTATTAATTATAACTATAAATAAATAATTGTTATTTATTATTAATTTATAATTAATTTTTTTGATATTTTATAGTTAATTTATTTAATATGTATAATTATTATAATTATTAATATTATTTATAATTTTATTATATATTATAGCAGGAATTATAACAATGATATTGATATTCATTTTCCATATTTATACAAATTATTTACACAAATATGTCATAAAAATGCGATAAAAATCGTTTCGAGAATCTTTTATGCTTTTATTACCGAAAAAAAGAATGGAATTTTGGCGGGAAAGTTGGTAACAAATCGTTGAATTTGAAAGTTTCATATACATCGTATGATACAAATTCGCATCAAAGAAACGTATAATCGCACAAATTGCGAAAATAAATCGCAAAAATATGACGTAAATTTCAGCCGTAAATAGTTCGCAATTTATATAATATATCATCGCAATTATCATAATTATCAAAAAACTCAAGTACTCGATTCGTAACGAGTACTCGTGTCGTATTTTTAATTGTAAAAAAGATCTACTTGACTGCCGCAGATACCTCGTCGTTCACATTTAAAATTATTTTATAATTAATTTTCTTGTTATTTTATAGTTAATTTCTTTAATATGTATAATTATTATAATTATCAATATTAATTATAATTTTATTAAATATTATAGCAAGTATATGATTGATATTCCTTTAACGAGTACTCGCGTCGTATTTTCAAAAGGATTTTGGAAAAGGACCTACTTGAATGCCGCAGACACCTCGTCGAAATTAATCGTCGTATCAAAAAAAAAAAAAAATTTCTTCGAAAAAATGCGTCGCACAAAACTCAGAAGAAACTTTGCCTCGAAGCGCGCAATTCAAACATTCTTCCGTCACGGTTGGCAATGGCGACCGGAGGTCATCGTCCCCTCGGGCGGAACCGCCGACTGGCGGCCGAGTCGAGCCGAGCGCCGCCAAACGTCACCGAGCGTGGCCGAAGATGGCCGAGCGCGGCCGGAGACGTCCGAGCGCGCCCGAGGCGCGCGGGGGGTGCTGGTAGGGATGAGCCGAGGTGACACGACGGCGAGAGACGCGTTCTAGCCAGCGACGTGGAGTGATCGCGGCCCGTCCCCGTGTCCGTTTCGATGGTTTTACGTTCCGTTGCGGCAGCCGGCGCGCCACCATCGTACATCCCGGATATCGTGCTCGACCAGCGTAGTGTATTCCGGCGGTGGTGTTCTCGAGAACGCGGTGCGGATACGCGAGGCAGCGGCTGACACATCCGCGTCCGATCGCGAGTGAGTGAGGAAAGGGGTGAGGAGGATCGCGATCCGCGGGGGGAGAAGAAGGCAGAGAGAGAGAGAGAGGGAGACGAACGAAAGAGACAGAGCCACTGACGTGTGCGGGCGTGTATCGAGAGATACGGACGCAACGCGACACACACACACACAGACACACGCGGCATCTCCTGGCATCTCGGGATAAATAACGCGGCAGCGTAACCTCGCGCCGCCGGCAACGACGTTCATTCATTCAAGAATGCGTTAATTACGCGTGGCCGAACGCTTGAAACGTGCGTGTCGGTTGCTTCGGTTACGTTGTGACGTGCGTTACACTCGCTCCCGCCCCCCCTTTTTTTTTAATTATTTTCCGGAGACAGTGAAACGACGCGCCGAGGATTAACGGCGGGTCCAAGATGCTCAAGTTCATCAGGGGAAAGGGCCAGCAGCCCACGGCCGAACGGCAGAAGCTGCAGAAGGATCTCTTCGCTTTCAGAAAGGTAAGAGAGAGAGCGAGAGAAGGGACGGGGGGAGAAAGAAAGAGACATTCGCAACCCGTGAAAAGATCTTCGCCCACACCCGGGGGGGAGGGGGGGTGCGAATGGGCGCGGGATGAATATCGATGGCGATGTTGCCAGATCGGATTGATCCAAGTCATTTGGATTGGTCATTCAAGATAGATTTTTCAATGAATCACACACTTGAGATTTAAATAGATAAGATTCGATAGGAACGTTTTGTAAAGATTGCTCAAATGTCCTGCGTCGGTCCTGAAAACAATGGAATAGAAATATGCGTGTGAAATATTATCATATGTGTAATGAAAATTCATATTTTTAATTTATTTCTTCAATTCTCCTTCAATGTTTTTAAATAAGGTATTAAAATTCTTGATTTCTTTCATATTTTTTTATGATTTTATATAAAATGTTTATAGATTATACGTGTTATACATGTTAATAATTTATGATATATTCATATCACATGGCTTAGGAAAATTTTATTTCCCTATTAAATAAAAGATTATAAATTTAGCAAATCAGAAAAATATATGAATGATATTTAAGTGATTTATTAATGAAATTATAAGATATTTATTAATGAATATTTTCTTTTATACATATTATACATATAATTTATGATATATTCACATCACATGGCTTAGGAAAATTTTATTTCCCTATTAAATAAAAAATTAAAATCAACAAATCAGAAAAATAAATGGATGATATTTAAATGGATGATATTTAAATGATTTATTAATGATTATAAAATATTTATTAATGAATATTTTCTTTTGAAAATGAGAACTTGCATCATTCTTAAATGATAATTAGTTTATCCAATCTAAGAATGCATGTAATTCCATTAGAATTATTATTAAATTTTACAATATTAATTTGACGTAAGCAAAAATTAAAGTAAAGTAGTAAAAGTTACAAAAAGAAAATAAATTTACAAGAAAGGAAGAAGAAGAATATTTTCATTCCAACAATTATAAAGTCCATGATGTGCGAAAAATTTTGCATTTCTGGCAACGAGTAGTTGACAGAAACAGCGATGATTCTCCGCTCACAGACAGGTTTTGAGAGATTCATCTCGTCGGGAATATCGGGTTACCGTCTGTACCAATGGCATCTTTTTATTATTTATCTATATTCTTTCTGTCTCTATATCTACTCGTTACTCGCGAGATTTATTTATTCGTACACAACAATTTTGATATTAATTCGCAAGAGACACTTACGCATTCATTTCTGCGATTGATTTATAACTCTAATAAAATTTTACTTGAAACATGTTTGCGAATTTTCCAATACAAATTTGCGAGAGAAAGGGTGAGAGAGAGAGAGAGAGAGAGAGAGAGAGAGAGAGAGAGAGAGAGAGAGAGAGTCCATTATTACACACATTATCATAATTTTGTCATCGATAATTACTTTATTATAATTGATTCGATAATCGTATACATATATATGAAATTTATGCTACAAATATATGCCAAAAAAGCCTTAAGAGAAAAGAATTTTTTTTTTAATAAAGATTTATAGACGATCACAAATTCATCGTAATTAAATCTAATCTTTCAAATTCATAATTTATCATAATTCTTGAATATATAAGGTGGCCCCGAACGTTCCAGCCAGACTTTGAGATCTTATAGGAAATTTAATTCTAAACAAAAAATTTCCTATAAACATGGGTCGAAAAATGCTCCCTTAAGAAGTTATCGCTCAAAAATCTCTGATGAAAGAAGAGCAAAAGGTGAAAAGAAAATGAAATAAAGAGAAAATGCAACTAAATAAATTTCTTGACAAAAAATGATAAAAATAATATATATATATATATATATATATATATATATATATAAGTTAATTTTCTGGCAATTCTGAGCTATTCTGCATTATTGTACTGTATAATCGGTTAATTTCGTGTCATTATTATATTACTACTCAAAGAAGGTCGCAATCGTTGTCGTAGCAACAGATTGCGGATCTAATCTAATTGAAATCTATCCATCAAATGTACACTACACATTTATTTGTATCGCGTAATAAGAGACACATATAATATCAATATTTTAGTTTTTATCTTTTTTCTTGTTGAAAATAAAATATATGTCGTACATAAAATGTACATAAAATATCTCTTATCTTTTTCGCGAAGCAGAATATTAATTTAATAAATTATTAATATGTTTAATTATTAATATATTTTTTATTATTCAGGCGTCACAATTTTATTTCGCAATGCAATAAATTTATCTATGTAATATTATCTACAATTATCTCTACATCTATCATCTATAAATATTTATGCATGTCATTTTGTACTTTAATGCGCATGCATTCCGTTATTTGTATAGGCTTGCCGAAAATCGAAGGCAGAGAAAAAATGAAAATATGACTCGTTTATCTTGTCGAGATAAACGTACGAACGATAAGCGAATTTTTGTAAAACGTCAGTCGGCATGCAAGAGAATATATTTTACTTATGAAACGTTATTCGATAAAACGGCCAATGATGTGTAAAAGTATTTGCACTTAGCAGACCTTGCACCGGTTCGTTAATTCGAGATATTTATTCGTGAATGTCGCTCGAATCCGTTCGACCGTAGATATTTATGCATTGATCGTAAATGTTCAGTTAAGGTTACTTTAAGAATCGACGATGATCTTTCTCTTTCTCTTTCTGATGTGTACCAAAATATATTTGCTTACTTATGAAACGTCATGAATTTCATACAGCGAGAAAAAAATTTGAAAAGTGTATCGAAGAAAGCTGTCAGAATTAATTCAAATTTTTCGAAAATTAATTTCTTACAATTATAATTGTTGCAAAAAAATAATTTCCTATTTTTTTCTTAATTTAAAAATAAAGAAAATAATGTGGATACATTTTACATATATGCTTTATTTTATATATTTTTTATTATACTTATATACAGGGTGTTTCAGACCACCCGTACCACCCGTTTAAAAACTAGAGAAGTGATTATTTCAAAAAAGTGAAAACATTTTCTTTATAAATCAGATGTGCTGTATTGAATGGTGATATTTTCAACTTCTGGTTCCGGCCGAAAATAGGCAATTCAAATCTGAAGTACATTTTTTTAAATGGAACCCCCCATTTTTCATTGCATATTCTTGTAGCTTATCTCGAGAGCTTTCCAAAACACTATAATAAATTATTTTTCCATGGAGTACTTTTCGAGTTATGAGGCTTGAAATCATTTCTTAATTTTACATAAACCATAAAATATCTTGTAAAATATTCATGTTTCGATTATCTTATCTTAATACTTTTATGTACAAAATAATGAGAGGAATCAATTGGTGTAAAGAAACACATAGTTGTTTCTAAGAAAAAATATGTAATTTGCAATTAACAATTCCATATTTTTAATAAAAATAAATATTTTACAAAATATTTTACGATTTATGTAAAATGATTTCAAGCCTTATAACTCAGAAAGCACTCAATAGAAAAATACTTTATTATAGTGTTTTGGAAAGCTCTCGAGATAAGCTACAAGAATATGCAATGAAAAATAGGGAGTTCCATTAAAAAAAATACACTCCCGGTCTGAATCACCTATTTCCGGCCGGAACCAGAAGTTGAAAATATCACCATTCGATAGAGCGCACCCGATTTATAAAGAAAATGTTTTTACTTTTTTGAAATAACCACTTCTTTAAATGTGTGGTACGGGTGGTCTGAAACACCCTGTATATGTGTGTATTATAATTTATATATGTATGTACCTTTATTATCTCTTTAATTAACAATTTATATAACTATATGCACAAGGAGTTTAAATTGTTGATAAAACGAAATATTCGAAATTTTATCAATTTTGTGACGAAATTTTAAATAATTAATTCTACTTCAGTACTTTTTACGTATATTTCCATTGCTAATGGCTGAGTATTTTACAATCATTTTTCTTCTCTATAATTACAATAATTCTTTTAAGAAATGTGGTCACGTTTTGAGCCATTAAAAAAATTTCCACTGACAAGGTCGACTTTATATTCGAAACTGTTAAAAGGTCTTCCTTCATTAGCAGAATAATGTATCTAAAACACTTGTGCTTTAGATACATTATTGCTTATGTCATTTTTAATCATATAATATTAATAAAAAATAAATAGTATATTTTATTCCTGAAAATAAAATTGACACAATATAACGTAACATAAAAATAATTCCAATCATGAAATAATTTCAATTCAAGAATCAAATTTTTTTTAAATATTAGAAATTTTTCATGTTGCCATTATAACAAAAATAATCATTGAATAACGGATTTTTAATATTTTGTGCAATATAAGAATTTTAATGAAATCAGATTAAAGTTTTTTTTAAATCAAAAATTTTGTTACTTCATATTACATCAATCTTTAAATCGAAATCTGTCAAAATCGAGAAATCGTTAACATCGTTATTAAAATTATTTTAACGAAAAATATAAAATTTCAGCAATATGATTAATAAAATTCCACTGGGCTCGGAATGAATTAGTTTCCATTTAGCATGTATATGGGGATAAGATATTATAGAAACAACAAAAGAATGGCCATAGTCGACGTTAGATAACAATAAAACAAATAGCATTTAGCTGGACAAATACATAAGCTCAAGTATTGTGCAATCATTGATTTCTGTCGAACGAGAAAAAAACGATTTTTTTCTATATTTTATTAATCGAATATTTGGCAAGATACACGTCATTTTATTAGCTATATTTTGTTAAGTGTACGAAAATCTGCGTGATATAAATTTCTGTTGATGTGCAATCTTGCACGTCAAATCCTCTTATCAATCCTACAATTGACTAAGAACAGTTTTTCGAGCGAATTACACGAAATCAACAATATTTTTTGTCAGAAAAAGAGAAAAGTGTTATGATTATAAAATTATCAATGTCGAGTCTCAATCATACACAATACTTAAAAATTTATTAATGTGAAAAATAATGTCAACAATTAATAATAACAAT